GGCCTCGAACTCACAGAGATCTGTCTGCCTCTGCCTCCTGAGTACTGGAATTAAAGGCGTACACCACCACTGTCCAGCCCATAGTTTTCAAAAGTAATTTACCTGGAATACAGCAAACACTATGGTCAAAAATTGTGTTTTTAAATTACTAGTATTTACTATAGTGAGTATTTAATTAGTCATTGATTGAATGACCCTAGAGAAGGACTCAGTCAGTTATTCTAAAAACACTACTCCTAGGGCTGGAGAGACAGCTCAGTGGTTAAAAGCACTGGCTGCTCTTGGAGAGGACCCAGGTCCACTCTCAGCACCCACACAGTGGCTCACAATTATCTATAACTCCAGTTCCAGGGGATCTGATGCCCTCTCCTGGCCTCCCTCCACAGGCAGCAGTGGTACATGCAGGCAAAACATCCATATACATAAAATAAATAAATAATTTATTAATTTACCACTCCTAAATGGGTCTGGTGGTACATGTCTGTATTCCCAACATTGAGAAGCCAAAGCTGTAGGATAATGAATTAGAGAGAGGCCTTCCTGGGCTACATAGTGGGACCCTGTCTCAAAAAAACAGAGGTTAGGCATGTGGCCCAGTGTTTGAGAGCTTGGCTGGCACACGCAAGGCTCCTCCCTTCAAAAATTACAATAATAACATCAAACAAAACAACCACTCTTCCCCATAATTCTGGAACTTGTTTTCCATTTAATCACTAAACATCTAATATGAGTCAGCTGGGGCTAGAAGCTGAGTGAAACTTAGCTCCCATCTACCAGTGACTCTGACGCCGGTGGGCGAGACAAGGTATAATGCGCGCTGTAGGAGTTGGAATTGCAAGAGACTCCTTGTGGTGGTGGTGGAGAAGGTTTCACAGTGGTGTTAGTTCAGTAAGGACAGAGGAGCAGCCTTGTCAAGGGCCAAGGAGCAGGGAGGTTGGGAGAACAAGGCTTGCTTGAGTTTTTCAACATTTTACCATACAAAGCATAAATGTAGTTAATCAGAG